CAGGTTGAATCCACGTATACAAAAATGCTCACCAAACGAAAATATCCAGCATAGCCCTCTAAGAAAACATCGTTGCGATATGTAGGTAGTTCCCGAGACAGAGAATGGTTATCTTCGACAAGGAAGTGGTCAGACCGAGTACTATGACCTTGCAGCACTGTAAGACGGGTACCTCACCCGTACAGCACTAAAGTAACGCCCACATCTCAGCCCATGACAGAATACATCAAGGGATGTGCATCAGAACTAGCATAAGATCGATCTTTGTGTGGTCCTTGCGACTGCCCATAAAACCCGTGGAATACCTCATCAGGACGGGACCCTCCGAGACAGACGTAGGGACCATGTTCGTGAGAGCTGCGTAGAACGAGAATGCCACAGATCTCGCACATAAATGGCTCGAGATGTCAAACGTAGGACGATGTTGGCAGACATCAAGCGAGATCCATGTGGTCGGAGATCGAAGCTATGAGAGCCTTCTTTTTTTGCACAGGCTAGGCCCAAAGCGCCGCTAGCTTACCCCACCACAGGATTCAAACGAGAGCAGCAAGGAGATTTACACCGAAACCAATGAACGACCTTTGTGTTTTCGCTTACTTGCCAGTTTCAGACCTTCTCTTCCGCTGCCCAACATCTCTGGACCCTGCGCTGTTGCGATTCTAGAATCTGTTCGTGCACAGGTGAGAGCCGCCACCAGTAGCTTCAACTAGCTCACATCGGAACCGTGGAATCATACCTTTACTACACGTTTGACACTTAAAGCCACAACTTCGCCACTCACCTGCATACCAGGACTTCCGCCTGCTCTTTACTTTTTGGCGGCATTGACGCCGGCAGCGCCATCTCGAAGGCTACCATGGGACTCCTCGATCTTCCACCAGAACTTCTTGACCTGATCATTGACCGTACCGCACCTGATGGTCTTGAAAGCTTCGTGCTCTCATGTAAAACTGTGTATGGACGCGCTGCGTCCCAGATCCGACAGCACAATGACATGCGCAAGACTTGGAGCCACACGACTAACATGAGCCGGACTCGTCGCGGTGACACATTGGCTATCCTGCACGACATATCTCGCGATCCGATCATTGCTGAATACATTGAGACTCTTTCTCTCTGGGATCGCCGGCAAGACGATGAAATGCCGGATGGTACCACCCCGCACAGTTTCCGCGAAGATGAGCAGGAGATGGAAAATATCAGAGATCTGCTGCGGCGCGCCGAATATTACGCCAGTGCTGACGAGGAAGAATGGTGGGGTCGCATTCTGGAAGAAGACAGAGCGGGTGACCAGTCGAATATGGACAAGTTATATGCGACCGTCGCTTTGTTAAGTCTTCTACCCAACCTGAAGACGCTGCAACTGCCTGATCGGTGGCATGAGGTCAGGGAAGGTGAGGGCGCCGAGGCTCTTGTTTCTAATGTGCAGTCGCTTGTCGCCATGTCCAATGCAGATGGGCACCGGCAGAAGCCCCTGGCTCGGCTCGAGACTTTGTTACCGTTCGTGGAGGAAGGCTATGACGTCAGGGTTGGCTTGCAATGTCTCGCGCCTTTCATGACTCTCAATAGTATACGAAACATCTACGCTGTCAGCTGCGTTGCGGTTGACGAGGATTGGGGAGGTGTTCCCTTCAACTGGCTCAACCCAAATGTCAAATCTCCCTTGACCCGTGTCGAATTCGCCTACTGTTGCATGGACGCTACGGGACTCTCGGCCTTCCTCACAAACACACCAGCTCTCCAAGTCTTCAAGTACTCACACCAAACAAAATGGGATGGTCTTGAACACGACTGGAACGCGGGCGAAATGATCGAGACCCTGGCGAACTACAACAGCGATACTATTGTTGACCTCGCCATCACCATTGACGAGCTGCATGGTGAGATTGTAAACGGTCTTTCCTCGTTCCTGCGCTTTACGAGATTGCAAAAGCTGGAGGTGGACGTCGAATGCTTCTGTGGACCGCCACTGGAGAGCGGACAGCGCCAGGGTCGTGATGCGCATATCCCAGCTGGCGCGAGGACGTGGGGGCATATCGACATTCCCTGCATGGGCGACATGCTTCCGGAGAGTATGAGAGAGCTGCATGTCAACACAAACTTCCCAGAGCCGTCGGAAGAGTCTCTCAGGGCTCTGTTCAAGAACATTGTGGTGCGACGTAAAGACAAGCTCATCAACTTACATACAGCGATCATCCGACAGTACGGGTCATCCAGTGCGGGAAAGATTGCCGAGAGCCATGATGTCATTTTGGAAGTATTCGGCGCCGATGGTGACAACCTACTCCCAAGGTCCATGATGCCACTGTGGAAGAGAGAATTCAACAGTCGCGTCGGCGGGATCGTATTCACAAATAGCTAGAGGGAGGACCTGACATCAACTGGAAGATCGCAACCTTCTAGTTGCGCTGATGGGCTGCTTTCCGGATCCGAAGACGCGGGTTTTGACAAGTGCGATGTTGGTGTAGTACGCGATGCTGGAAGCGAGGCGCTTGTGTATAGGCAGTGGTGATTCTGGGAAATACCAGAGGTCACGGCCGGCTATCGCCGATTCGGAATTCTTTGTATATGTATCAACAAAAAGCCAGTTAATCTGGAAAGCAATGAGAATGCAATAACGACCTTCCAGTGATCGCGAATGTTGTGATGCCCCTGCATAGTCAGCATGATAGCGCGGGTCACGATTGCGTCATACCAGCGCCCTCAAACCAGCCACCTCGCGCACTGACAAAATCATCACATACGAAAGCAGGATCGATACTTATAACATTCAACACATTAGCAGCTACGACCTTGCTAAGCTCGCAGCTATGGCAGTTGCGTGCTCATTCCGAACTGAACACGTCGCGCGAGCACCGGCCAGCACGACCCACCCTTGTTACAGCATACGGGAACAACAGTCACATCCCCACTACCTTTTATCAATGGTATGATGAGAGCCGACCAAGAGGCTCAAACGTCTATCAATTTATCTGCTCGGAGAACTCAGATGGCGCGAGGCGCATGACTTCACCCAGCGGCAGCTCTGGATTAGTAATGGCCGCAGCCCATTGAGACAGTAACACAATGTACAGCACGTGAACGATGCGAAAAATGATCTAGAGATGCGTTCAGTCAATGTGTGCATGACCAATGTCTCTCGGACAGGTTGACCAAAGTATGGTTCACGTTGACTCACCGAACTTCGAACAGTCATGTACTCAATCTTCAAAACCTGCGTTTCCTGCCCTTGTCCCATCATCTAAAGATGTCGCCCCATCAACTTCGAATATGAAGGTGCCACTTGAGATACTGCGCTGCATCTTGGAATTTGCAGGCGCGTCCTATAACCGTCACGAACTTCTCCAGCTGAGACTAGCCAATTGTATGTCCATTAGTCCTAATGGATTTCGTCGCATAGCTAACATTATCTAGCTCTATTCGACGAAGAAGTCCGCTCCATATTCTTCACCGACCATGGCCTCGAGTCAGTTCGATTCTACCTCCACTGCGGCGCGGCCTCTGGTCGTGAATGTGTTCGACAACCTTTCTGGGACAGAATTGATCGGTACTTTCGTTACGCATACCTCCAACATTGCGTCAAAATGCGGGGTGCTGAGTCCAGTCTCTTCGCGCATTTGTTCGCTCCCGTATATGAGTCACAGCTCAAAAATCTGGGGATATCGGAAAGAGACCGTGCCACTAGACAAGAGAAGCTGGAATTGTGGACAGGCTTCTGTATGCATGAGTATTGGAAGGAAAGCAGGGTAGTCGCACACGCTTCCTCATCAGATGGGGCGAAGAAGCTGCCACACTATGATGAATACACGATGGATGACGACCCCGAAAAGCGGGTCGAGAATGACCGGAAGTTCCTCGAGATCTGTTGCGCCATTGTCGCCGACGAGGAAGATGCAGTGCTCGACGCATTCGCAGGCTTTCACAGCAGCGTAGACGATCTGAACTACTGTTTCGGCACGACCCTTCTTGGCTTCGCAGTTAGTACCGGACATACAAATATGCTCCAACTGCTCCTCCGCTCGGTAAAAAGCATAAAGCAGGAGCAGCTATACAAGTACCTCTTCATCGCCATCGCCGAGCTCGATCGCCCCAAGAAAACGATCGGCATTTTGCTCAAACACTCTATACAGCATCTGAAAGATACAGCAGGAGGCAATGTCTTCGTAAGAAAAGACGTAGCAAGACGGATCCTCATCAAAGATCTCCTCATCTCAGCCAAGGCCAAACGCGACAAGCGTGTCTTCGATGAGATATACAAATGGATGGAGCGCGTTCCAAACTTTCACGGTAAACTCGTCATCTACGAGGCTTTCTTCAACCAGACTCTTTACGATGAGAATTCATGCGTATATCTTCCCAAGATTGATACCCTCTCAAAGCAAATCGACAAGATACCGGGGCCACGCGCCGTGATACCCAGGTACTACCTCAAAAAGTCATACCAGCGGCAGCTCGATAAGAAGTTCAGCGACGTATATCGTGATGGCCGTTGGATGTGTCCACGTAGCTGGCCCGGGTACAGGGAAGACAAGGTCCCAGGATACTGCATGATCGACGGGTCGTCCATAGGAAGAATGAAGTACATAAAGTTGACGAGCCCGCTGTTCAAAGCAGTGGCAAACAAGTCGCTAGATTGGGCTGATAGGCTGCTGTGGGCTGGTGCGGATGCGGGGTGCCAGGAAGATGGCGTGGGCTTACTAGACGTGGCATGGAATGCCAAAATCAGGATAGAGGTTGCGCAGCTCGTTTATGCGCATGGCTGGAGGCATAGAGATAGGGAGTGGGTGAGATGCGGAGATGCTCTAGTCTAGGATGAGCTGCGAGTAAACTATTATCGAAACGCGCGTGCACTATCGTCAGTAACGTGCGCCAACTTCCGCCTTCCCCTTGCCCTTCCAGACTTTCTTCTCCTTGCTCTTGCGACCATCACCACTTCTGCTCCCTACGCGACTTCCCTCACCTTCTAGCTCTTTCCCAATCCTGTAAGCAGCCACACAGTATCAACTATCCAATATCATATCCGCAATATCTCCCCGATCAGCTTCTCGCGCCAGCTGCACAGCAGTCTTCCCTGCCCTATCTTCTACGTCGATATCCGCTCCTTTATCCAACAGGCACTGCACTATCTCCAAGCTGCACTTCAAAGCAGCGATAGCCAATGCAGTCATACCTTCCCGGCCTTGACCTCTGTGGACGCGGCTGCATCTGCGGTCAATATCCTCTTTGATCTCGTCTTCGGTAAGATTTTCGAGGAGGGTCTCCATGACTGACATGCGACCGATCTCGGCGGCGACGTGGAGAGCGGTCATGCCGAAGTCTTCGTATCGCATTCGTGCACCCCGCTTAAGAACCTTGCCAAGACTATCGAGACCGACGCCGCTTACTTTGCCCGCGTTGTGCAACATCAGGTTCAGCGCGACGCCTTCTTCGATGGCGCCCTTGTCGAAACGAAAGTCCGGTTGTGCTAGGAAGACCATGAGGGTGTGAACATTGGGGTGCTTGACTGCCCATTCCAGCGGTCTTGGATTGTTGACAAGGGCTGGGAAGTTCATAGTCTTTTCGCTGAGTAACAGTTCTGTCATCCGGGGGCTTCTGCGGAAGAGTGCGTTGCTCAGAGCGTTGCGAAGATTTATCTGATTGTGTCTGATCATTTCGCGCACGACCTCGTAGTCTAGTATCTCCTGGAGCATGCGCGGTTCGTGATGCCATGTTGCGTATTCGATGAGGTGGCCAGCCTTCTCCTGCATATTGACCGTTGTCAGGATGTGTTTCAGCAGCTGGTATTCACCGGAATCTATGATGGCTTCAGCGTATGACGTTTTGTTCCATGGGAAAAGGTCGCCGGACGATTTTACGAACACGAATTTGATGGCGCCGTCGAGCATTTCTGGTTTACCGGTGCAGACTGCGTTCCACAATACCGCCTCGATTTGTTCTTTCGTTAGATGTATATCAGTGGGGCCATGTCTCGAATGGATCGGATCTGCTATTTCCACACTGGAACCAGCCGCGAGGATACATGAGAAACTTCCAGAGAACTCGAAGGTTGTAGCGAGAAATTTGGCCGTCTGAATATGGTTATGCAAGATCGCGACATCGACCGGTGCTAGCATCTGGGCGTCTAGTGATGACATGTCCTCTACCAGCAACCAATACGAGGAGGGGGCCTCGATGAGCTTGTCGAGACCAAAGAGGGCGCATACGTGGAGGAGTGTTGTATGATGTTTACGAACATCATGATACGGGGAGATGCCGTAATTCCAGGTCATGAACATGATCCACCACTTCTCCAGGACTATTGGTTCAGGGCAAAAGGTCGCCTCGATCAATGCCACCAAGTCTTGCGGGATGTCCTTCAGCAGTTTGATATGTTCAGCCCAGTGATTTACTGCATACTTCAAGTCGGTAGGGACTTGCGAGACCCAAATAGACTCGTCGTTTTCCAGATCTGCCATATCGATCTGAGCAAGGCCAGCGCCAATCAACTCTAGGCATTGTCGAGCAAGCTTGGTATTGTTGGCCTCCGCAAGACTTGACTCTGAGAGCGCGAGCCACGCATCGGAATCTGCGAACCCTATGTGCTCGGAACTAATTAGCAGTTCGGTTGGACGAGAGTCGAGGAATTCAAGAACGTGGGTTCGCTGGCTCTCGGGGAACATGGACAGAAGCTGCCCGGTGGTCGGCGGGCAAAGGTAGGCAGCGAGCACCTGCAACACTATAAAACCCATGCGGCTATACTTCTGACTCAGGCTGCTAAGATGCTCTTCGGCTGTAAGCGAGCCCATAGTGGAAGACATAGACCCGCTCCCAATGCGCGCATCCAAGTCGACATTCCCGTATTTTGCGACGTCTAGAGGGATGCGGGTGGTGACGAGGAACTTCAGAGTAGGCTGCGTCTCCGGGCAGCCTTCGTACGGGAGCGTAAGATCGAGTAGTTCAAGGACGAGAGCTCTACTCTCTGCGCCACATTCGTCCAAGCCATCCAGCAAACAGTATGTTATTCCCGCGTTGCTCAGCTTTGCAGCCCGTCGTAAAAAGGCCCACATCATTCTGGCCTTGTCGAGGTAGGAAGGTACATAAATGGGATCTTGAAGAAGCCATTCACAAAACTCTTTAGTCAAATCAGGTCTTTGTTGGACAAGCTGATATATCCAGCCGTTTAGCACTGCGCTGGCAGTACTACGTCGACGGTCAGGACGATGACAAAAGAAATACAGGACCTGAGTCTTCTTGGAAGAGTTTGACGACTGGAGACCTTGAAGGTGTTCAACAGCGAAAGAAGCTGCTGAAGTTCTGTCGATCTTAGATCCACCGCATATCTGAATTCGTAGTTGGGCATGAGTGGGCGCAAGCCACTGTGTAAAGATGCCGTCATCTTTTATCCGTTCGCTCTTGCTGTTCTGCCCGAGCGAGCTTTTGATGGTGTCGAAATGGTGGGATGGATCGAATGGTTTCAAAACGCGCTCGGTCTTATCTTCCAGGCTGAAAATGTCCCTTTGAAGCTGGAGCATGTGAGGATTGTTGAGACGTAAGCAATTCTTAGGTATGAAAGTTGGACGCGCATCCTGTGGCTGGACGTTCTCTGACTGGGCGTTCTCTGTAAGCACATCTTGTGGTGGCATAGTGATTACAAGGTAGTTTCTCACTATCTGTCGATCCCCAAGAGCAAGGACAGACGGATACATATACACTCCATCTTGCTGTTTGGGTGTGTATCATCTCGTGTAGCAGTTGCGCTTTGCCATGCGCACGCGTTCCTGACAATTGCGTGTGCAGGTGGGTAGCAAAACACTGAATCCCATCAGATGTCGCCAACTCCTATAGTCAACGAAGATAACACAGTGATACTTGCAGCTTCCACAAAGCTCGCGCTGGCTTGATGTATGCTGTCGGGTGGTAGTCAGGATGTTGTGGTGGCAGTCGCGATCACACCAGAACCCGGACAGGAAGGTCCGCAAACGTCTCACGTGACGGCGCGACAAGCGATTTGTGGTTTCGGCGCGCAAAGCCGTCGCAATTGGCCGGGAGTTATTTGCGCAAAGCAGGATCTGACGCAGGGTGATCCAGTCGAATGAGGGACACATGCGAGGAAGAAACAAGTATGGGCGGGCAGAGTTGGTCAACTAGGAGGAGCAAGGTTCCAGGTACGAGGTTGAGATGAGGTCAAATTGGGCATTCAGGCGTTGCGCCTCCCGCGGAGCGTTGCGGATGGCTTTTGGCGACATCGCGATGCTGAATAGGAAAGGCGATGCATCGCGACAACATTGGTCAGTTAAAGAGCGATGCGCAGAGATCGGCCGAAAATTGAGTGTCGTGATGCTGCGCGGTGCGGGCGGTGGTGTTGAGGTTCAGCCTCCTATTATTGGGCCCCAGCCCCCATAACAAGATGAATAATTGCATCATGGCGTCGTAGTCAACCAGCGCACTACTGTGTCAAATCCCCAAGCGCGCCCTGCTTTTCCCACTTCTCTTTACCTGGGACGGATTTTCGGCACCCTTCAATTGCTTGACTGTCTTGTTCCTTCTCGAGCATTGTGTTGCGTGTTGCTGCACATCAAATTGATCTACCTCCCCCACAACTAGCGCCGGCATCGTCGGTTCCAGGCCAGGAACTGCTGTTCCCCCAGACGACGGCCCCCCAAACACGCCAAATACCAACACCACCACTTCGCCGTCAGCGCGCATTCTCGCGGCCAGTGTCGCATACTGCTCGACTCAACCATGCCGGCCGTACGCGATCCCCTCAGCTTCCTCGCCAACATGGCGCCCCGCGACTCCAGCCTTAGCCCCCGACAGCCTGCTTTCGACGTGCCAGCAATTGTCTTCGATGCGCCCAAGGCAGCCCCCATTGCCAAGCGACAGAACGTCATATACGCCCAGCAGGGTATAATACCCACCTACTACAATACCGACGGTCCCGAGCCCGGTACCGTTGTCGGCATCGTGCTCGGCAGCGTCGCCGGCTTTCTCCTGATCTGCTGGCTCATCCAGTCCCTGATGAACACCAACAACAAGACCGGTACAACCACAGCCATGGCCGGAGAGGAAGAGATTGTGGTGCGCAGGCCACGACGCAATTCACATGGCGGACGCTCGTCGCGACGCCGCTCGGAAGTCCGCGAGATCAGCAGGAGCCCGAGGCGGAACAGTGGACGCTCGCAGATCATCGTTGAGGAGAGGAGGGGTGCGCCGCCGAGAGCGAGGAGTATCATTGTGGAGGGGCGGCAACGTGTTCCAGGCGATGATGTCGTGGAAGTAATTGAGGAACACGACGAGTACCGCGAGAGGAGAGGCGCCCGGAGAGGCCCGGGATATCGGTGAGTGCTTGAAATGATCTCCTCTGAAGACGCAGATTTACTAATGCATCCAGGTGAACAGATACTGAATAGTAACTCCATCGCGCCTCATACCCTCCACCAAACACCCCACAACCTACCAACATCCTTACGTGCGACCACTACCCACCGTCGCACCACAGATACCCCCAGAATACCCCTTTGCTTCTACCGCGTTCTTGTTTTGCAGTAATTCCACCGATCTATCTTCTTCTCTGTACCATAATACGGGCTCTTCTCAACACTTGGCGTTCAAGCGGAGGCATTGAAGGCGACGACATTTAGTTTGAAAGTGAAGGAATGGGAAAAGAAGGATGTTACGTATGACGCATCATGTATAGCGAGACGCGCCTCTGATTCGAAATGATGGATGAAGTTCTTGTTATCAGATGAATAGTCAATATATGAACCATGAGATCGAATTATCAGTAGCCGGCTGGACTTTGCCGTGACGTCGGGGCCGCTCTTTCCTCGCTCACCTCGAGGTGCCCCACTTTTCCCTGATTTCTACAAACAAACCGCGATACTCACTCCACCTCCACACTCTACGCCGCCGCCTTTACGGTTTGTCTTCGAGCGTAAACCGTCCATTCATCATCAAGCGCCCGGGTCAACTGCCGTCTGTCGCTCGCAGCAAAGGTAAGCATTGACTAGGCCGTCCGCTCGAGAAGCTCAACTGACATGTCAATCAATAGATGGCTGCGTCGGGACATTTCAGGCTGCTTGATCTCCCGAGAGAGCTGCGCGACATCATCTACGAATACGTACTCACCGAGAAAGCTGGTCTCGTTGTCTTACGATCGTCGCCCTCTCGTGTCCGCCCTCTGGACGATCCGTATGGCCCTGATCCGAATCGGCTGAAGCTGGTGTGTCATCAGCTGTACCAAGAGACCACGGGTCTTGGCTTGAGATACAACAAGTTGACTTTCGGCGGTTCGTTCGGCTTCGATCTATTCACAAAGTTCACCGAGAAACACTGCTCCCGTGCACATTTCGGACGCGTCAGAACCATCGTCATCATGCTGCTGTCACGCTACAGACTATGTCTGGAGTTGCAAGCCGCGTATGCTATCGGCAAAGAGTATCCAGCTCTGTCCGTCAAGGTGCAGTGTTGCTGGATGACCGAACTAGGGTGCTTTGACCAATGGCGTCTCCGAGGCAGTGAGATTCAATATGCAGTAAGGGGCACATTCCCCAGTCTCGCTACTGCTGCGATCAAGGATGTTGCGGGACGGATTGGATTCGCCATTGAAGACGGACCTAAGACCGAGTACAAGAATGTTCGAGTGTTTCCTGAGAGCTTCAACAAGGAAGCGCTCTGGCTCTCTGCTATCAACTCTGAGAGAAAATATGCGGATGATTGGATCACATTGTTCGAGAAGTGGTCTATCGAAGGTTTCTGAGTCGTTTTCGACGGTATCTGGGTGCTACGGCGCATCTGGCAGGCAGAGGGGGCGAAGCCCATCTTGGTTCCATGTCTCAAACATCTTTGAAAGGGCCTCAGCTGCGGGACTGGATAAAGAGCAATCTTCAGTTACTAAGACCTTCGTAGATATGCCTGTCAAGTCTAGCCATTGGTTAGAGTAGACACCTAACCATTCACTTGACACTCCTGCCCGATTCGGTGTCCTTACTTGCTTTGACCGTGACGCCACATTCGCAGTCACTCTTTCCCTGTGAGAAGTCTCAGTGCCTCGCCAAGGCTCGGAGCAAACGGACTAGTCTCTGACAAACAACAACGCAAAACTCTCTCCCACCCACATCTCCTCTGCATTCATATCTTTCTGCTTTGCTTATCATCTCCGTCACCGATACTCAGTATGCGCCTCGAACCACCACAGCCACTCGCCACAGGCGGCTCAGCACTACCTTCGGCCCCAAACCGCCTACTCGCTCTACCGAGAGAACTCCGCGATATAATCTACGAGGGTAATGTAGCCGCCACGAATAGCTCTTAAGATATCTTGCTAACTTATTACTAGTATGTAGCTCCCTTGCTGTGCTGTGCTAACGCGGTGCTAAGACATCTTACTATCCGTCCTAACAGCTTGATAGTACGCACTCACCGAAGATCGCGGCCTCCTTATGATCGAGACTCACCCGAAGAGCTTCAGAGGCCATCGACTCTATGAGCACTGGGTCGAATCTAACCGGCTCAAATACGTCTGTCGCCAGCTATACCACGAAACCAAGGGCTTGGGTCTGAAACACAACGACGTCGCTGTTCGGTCTGATCGGCAGGTCGAGGACTTCGTTACGTTTCTCGCTACATGTTCGGCGGATCAGCAAAAGTATATTCGGCAAGTCACACTGTGTGCTGACGTGTCGAGTATCGTGGGACGGGTGAGCACATGGAACAAGGCCGTCGAGACATTGACGCCATATGGCGCCTCGCATCCCGGCATGAAGTTTCACTTATATGTCAGTTCCCTCGGTGAAATCGATGACGCCGGTCATTGGCTCATCATGGCTGCCAACGTTCTGTACGCCAGACATATGCACGAGAACCATGCCATTCTCTCTCCACTCATGCGCCGGTTGGCCGTCCGCTTCAATGCTGATCGGAAAGATCCAATTCCTGATCATATCCGGATATTTCCTGGTACAGGGCCTGGCGACCTTGTTCAACCTGTCTTCAGTAAGAGAGACGTACAGACATATGGTATAGCACAGACAGAGCTCTTCATCAAAGAGATCGAAAAGTGGCAGCGAGAGGGTATCTAGAAACATCAGAGTTTCTATGGCGAGTTAGGTATTTTCTCCAAATGATTCTTGGGGTTACGGAAGGGTTTGCTGACTACATAGACTCCGGTGTGTGTCATGAAAGCTCGGAACTTGCGCTGTAGAGTGTAATCATCACTTGGATTCGGCTTTTGCAATACAACGATCTGGATGGACTACCTGGGAAGGGAGACGAGTGGCATCAAAGTGTCGGAGGTATTTGCGGTATTAGGGAGGCGAACAGAACTCGACGAAGTAGTCGAAGGTCTGGGCTGAGATATGAGAACAACACGAAAAGCATTCATGCACCATGAGAAGACTGCAAGTGATTTGATGATAATGTATTGAGGGCATGCACTATATTGGCACCCTAATTCCTGTCCTACATACGGACACTCATACTGAATTACAACTGATAAATTTTAGGCCGTCACAGTCCACTCCAAGCGTGGACACATCTTCTCCGTCATAGCCTCGTTCCCTCAACCAGCCATCTAGACCTGGTTCTCGTTGCGCTCAGCCGGCTCCAAAATACCACCATGGGTACCAGCCTGCTCGGCCTTGCTGAAGTTGCGACCACCAGGACCCATGTGCAGCCTGTCAGTGTCGACAAGGCCGTCCTTAGCCAAGCTCGACGCATCCCACTTGGCGCTGGTAATAGGGTTGACATGAATCATGTACATGGTGTCGATCTCCTCGAGCGAGCGGCCCTTAGTCTCAATCATGAAGAAGTAGACGACGAAGAAGAGCAGGACGAGGGAGACGGCGAAGACGAGACCGTAGAAGTAGTCGATGCGGTCGGTGATGAGGGTAGAGCAGAAGGAGATGATGAAGTTGAAGAGCCAGTTGGAGGCGGTGGCGAGACCCATGCAGGTAGCGCGGTAGCGGGCAGGGTACAGTTCTCCGACGATGGCCCAGACGAGGGGTCCCCAGGTGGTAGCGAACGCGGCAATGAACAGGCAGGTGAAGACAATCATGACGTTTCCGGCAGCGGGCGTGCTCTGGGGAAGGTTCTGGTCGAGGGCGTAGTGACCGACAAAGGAGTAGATGAAGAGGCACATGGCCATCCAGGCAGCACCGACCATCATGGCCTTTCTGCGGCCGACGTTCTCGACGACCCAGAGACCGAAGATAGTAGCGACGACGTTGACGGTTCCGAGGATGATGGAGGTGACGTATGAGTTGGAGAGGCCGGTGGCGGAGAAGATGGTTGTGCCGTAGTAGAAGAAGTAGTTGGCACCTGTCAACTGCTGACCGGCCTGGAGGACCATACCGAGAAGAGTGCGGTACAGCATGCGGGGGCCGGTGAAGATCTCGTGCCATGGGTGGTCGCCGCCAGCAGACTCAGCCTCGAGCTTCTCCTGGATCTCAGCAATCTCGGCGTCGATGAAGGCGCTGTGCGGGTCGACACCGTTGAGACGGGCCATGTTCATGCGAGCCTCGTCGACCTTGCCCTTGCGGTATGCGTAGCGGGGGGACTCGGGGAGGAGGAGGATGGTGCTACCAAGGATGATGGCCCAGAGTGCGGAAAGACCGTTGGGAATGCGCCATTGGGCGCTGTTGACGTAGTCCTTCTCTGTGCCGTAGTTGACCATGTATGCGGTCCAGATACCGAGGGTGATGAACAGTTGGTAAGAGGAGACTGTGGCACCACGGATGCGCTTGGGGATCGACTCGGATTGGTACATGGGAACGACGGTGGAGAGAGCTCCGATACCGAGACCGGCAGTGAAGCGACCCATAGCGAATTGGGCCCAAACGTCCTTGCTGGTGATTTCGATAATGACACCGATGATGTAGAAGAAGGCGGAACCGGAGATGGTAAGACGACGACCGAAGGTATCAGCGAGAGGAGCTGAGCCTAAGCATCCGAAGAGAGTACCGACACTGGGAGATTGTTAGACGCGTTCATCGCGTTGCGGAGGAAAGGACTTACGCAAGAAGACCGACAATGGCACCAGAGCGGACAGCAGAGAACTCGTTGTTCTCACCGCCGAAACGCGCCTTGAAGTCGTCCATCTCTAGGAAACCAGAGATCTGTCCAGACTCATATCCGAACATGAATCCACCGATACTGGCACAAGCACCGAGGATAACGGCAATGGCAGGCACGCGGCCCTTGGGCTCGAGATCCGCAGCCTGGACGGTCTCAGAGTTTCCCCTGGGAGGTGTGTCCGCAGGAGTGGCGGTGTTTGGCGTTCCCTTCTCGTGGATCTCCTCCTCGGTCGCCTTCTTCTTGAAGAAACGCGACATGACCGTCATGTTGGGCGCGTGGTAATTAGGAATCAATAGAGAAAAACAAAAGGGTATCGAGCAAAAGTCGAGCTGGTCTGCAGCGCGGGGTATACGTCTCAAACAAAGTGAGCTGGAGAGAAGCTGGAGAAGAGGAGACCAGTGTGGGCTGTGAGGAGAAGGCTGCGCCGTATAAATAGCAGAAAATGCATGCGGAGACGGGTTCGTAGGGTCTATTGACAGTGGAGCCCCAGTGTCAGTCTCATCCGCATACCCATCCGACTAACATTTTCCAGAACGCCCTAGCCATGGAGGCGAAAGGAGATATGCTCGCACGAGCGCCCTGACAACGGAGGTATGATGACATCGCATCGTGGAGCTGGAGCTGGCAATGGGGCAGCCTGTCACGAGCACGCTCGAGCCGGAGAGCTGCCGGTCGTGAATTTTCTTCATCGCGTAGTATCGGAATGGTTGCTGGACACGCCGAGAAGCACAGACAGTTGATAGTGCAACGATCGGCCCACTGCAGCTGCTGCAAGTATACCACCCTTCCGGTTCTGGTGGATTACTCCTCGGGGTCGTATACGGGGTCGTATAGTTTGTGACTTCGCCCCAGTGACTCCAGTATCGCGTGCTCCAACGGTTTCCCCTTACATGGCCATTGTGGATGGTGATGATGGGGTGCGCTTCAGTATCGGCGAACTGCTCCATCCGAGTATCCAATGTTAGACTTCATCCAGCCGGCCTATGAGATAGCTTGGAGCTACCCGGGATGTTTCCTTATGCAGGGGCATAGACGCGTCTATAGTGCAGACGAGGCTGACAAGTGCCTCATATCGTTGGACAATATGCAAGACGTGTACGCACGGACGTGACGGCACTCGCTAGCTTCCGCAGAGCCTCAAGTCGCGTTGGATCGTTCACACCGGTGACAAGTCCATCTGGTCGCCATTGGAGGGTAGCCGGAACGAAAAGGTTGTTCTCCAGCTAGGGCAGCACGTTTTTCGTCCTAGTAGCCGGTAACTGGTGCGCCAGAGCTTCTGCATTAGAAAACCGGGGGTGACAGTTCCTGCGGGATATCCAAATTCTTCGCGGAGCGCGGTAAATCGAGACTTGCGACGTCAGATGTCCACCTCTACGTCACCGTGATTTTTCATCGCTGGCAGCGCATCCTCGGTGTCGGCGGTACGAACTTGGCAGGTTTCCCAGCAAACGCCGGTCTTGGCCGACGCGCGATAAAAACCTCATCTCCGACTCCGAGGTTGCAGCGCTAGCGGCCCGCTACGTGCATCAAAGCGTGAAAATCCTGAGCCAAGAGTCCTGAAGTTTCTGAGAAATACGGGTCCGTGTGGATCAATGCGAGAGCATCGTGAGATGAGCAATGTGACAGGTGCCGACATCCAGGTCACGCTTTCGCGTCGAGATTGTGAGACCGGGTGATGTTCGGGAGACCGAGGGGTTACCGGATGTTGGGAACGGCAGTATGTGGGATGACGGTTGTGGTGCGCATGTGGGGAGACACGTTGATGGAGTCTCCAGACACGTCTACGATGGTTAGCTTTGACTCCGTGTTATAGTAGACAGGTACCCCGTGGGTGGTGTGAGTACGGGGTGCCGACCGCAAACAGAAAGATGCGTGATGTGACAAAACAAGCAAATATACGTACCAGTATCAACCATTCGATTGAGAGCACCAATGCCAAAGAGCAATTTCTCTTAAGCTTGGTAGCAACATGTCGCCGTCGTTCTGAAAAGAGCCAAACAGACGTTCCACCCCGTGGGGAGCGCGACCTCTTATACAAATTACTTCGGACGGCTTTCCTCCGGCTGTGGAGATGCTTCGACCCCAGAGTGACGCCGATCCACCAATGAATGATGTAGTCCCGTGATGAACGAGCCGACTGCCGTTTCTTTTGCCTAATGTATCGCCTCTTTTGAGCCTCCTGTCATCCTCTGCCTGAGTCGAGAAGCGCGAAAGCTTCCCGCATGTCGGACGGCATCCTGCTTTGGGAAAGGTTCAGGCCACCTCCGCAAGGCGCGATGCTGCCGTGGTGAATGTCGCATTGGAGCTGTGAGGACGGTACCATTCGTAGAAGAATTTTGAGAAGGCGAAAGCCGAAGTAGCACGCCTCTCACAAGCCCATGTATCTTTTTGCCTTCGCAATGGCTTCTGCAAAGCGTGTGTTGGCTCTTTCCCATCGGATGGGGCGGAATGGGGCGTGGAGAAGGAGCTCTGGGGTAATGCGGATTAGTTATCGCCAAGCGCCGCTAGCTACCAAAGAGGACATGACAGCGTGCTTTCCCTTGACACATTCTTTCTCCAGTCCACGCACGAAAGCACTCGAATTTAGACGATGCATAATCTCTACCTAGGTACTCAATGCACCCGTTCTATAAATGACATGCGATGCCTGACACTCTGATTCATCACGATACTAGCCACATATACCCGGTCCCAGCGCATGGTAGCTACCTAGGTAAGCTTCCAGAATGGGTCACAGTGCACGTGCAACTTTCGCGCGGGCATACTCATATCACAGGTTAGGGATTGAGCGTCTCATATCCGACGTACCGATCTGATTGCCCTCATGCTAGTATCGGCGTGTTACCTCGGGTGTGAAATACTCGAGAAACTATAGCGCTGTCCAGGCATCTCTAGACTCTCGTTATACAAGCACTTCTCTCTGGCTCTCCTTCTTGTTGCAGAATTGGCGCGCAGTCTTCATGCACAACGTGCCTCAAATGCCGTGTTTGTACCACTCCCTGATCTGCGCGACCCAATCCTCGAACCCCTTCTTCTTTCGGAGATACGAGTACCGCACTTCGGCTTCATCGAACTCCTCCATCGGGTAAACCCTGATGTTTCTCGGAAGAAATCTACCATCTGTACGGAGAGGCCAGTCTCCGCGCGGGTCCAGATGAATTACCATGCTCTCGATTTCGCTTGAAATACCTGCATCAACCTGGAAGGGCAGCTCAGTACATCGCAGGATGACCTGTAGCGCAGCCCCGAGAACAAGGAGCCCGCGACATCCAAGTCCTTTTCGTAGAGCTGGTGTAAAGATGGCCACTTCGAGCAGCGGATTTTCCTCGCAGAGACGAACGTAACGGTCAAATGGTATATTCGAGATAAAGCGGTCTGTATGTACCCCATGCTTGTAATGCACAAGCAGCCGGGTCTCAGGATCGGGGTCTTGGCTAGCGAAAGTATAGGATGAGTAAAAGGACCTGTGATCCCGTGACAATCCCATATTGCCAGTCTCCGCTTGGAGCTGCCGACAAGTGTGCTTGAGTTTATTGAACAAATGTAATCGTGCTGCGTGGGTCTTGTATAGCGTCTGATAGCTGTTGCCAGTTACCTGCGGCGGTTTCGAATCCTCCAGCGCGTACTCGTAGATCTTGTTGCGTAGCTCGCCAGGTAATCGGAGAAGCGGACTCTGGAGCTGCGGTAGAAACGGTGCCGGCACTGGTAAGAGTGTTAGTGTTGTAGCAAGACATGTAAAACGTAACATTACCTCCGCCGTGGCCCTCGTGACTCGCAGTCACCATCGGCTGAGCCATGTTGTTGATCACCGTCGCTGCCTATTGCTCTAAGGACGTCGGGATAAGGATCCAGAGGTTGCTAGAGCAAATACGCGAACACAAAGCAAGAGCAAACGGGTGGCCTAAGCGAGGGCCTAGCGCACTGACGCGAAGTGAAGGTGACTCGACGCTCAACATCTCGTATGGTGACGTGGTTTGGCATCGCCTACTTCTGGGCTGCTGCTTCCAAGCCGTAATCTGTGTGAGTACAATTCAGGTATGTCTGGTACAACCTTGGGAGAGATGTAGAGCGTCATGAGTTACTCGGCATGATACTTAGGGAGTCACATATACAGTTCCAAACAAAATCTTTATGTGAAGATAGTAAGCTGGACTGTCTTGACACTTCCTCAATTCTACAAAGACCAAACATTACATAGCTATTAAGGCACAAACGGCGTCGATCTCACAGGCTAACTCGCTGAAGCTACCAAAGCTCTTACGATGCTTCCTTGGTACCTAGGTAGCCATTTTTTGATTTTTGCATTGCTCCTCCGCGCCTTTGATCGTTTCCAGGAGTGAGTATGAGCACGTGACTGGCGCCTAGCGCCTTGGCCAATGAAAGACGGCTCTCAGCGCGACCGAAATTTCGACCTTAGCATCAGCATCCCACACCGCTGCAAACAACCATGAACACCACCATGGCAAATCATCCGCAGCAACAATTCGGCCAAGGCCTTGGTAACGGTGGCGATGGCCCGCCTAACGAGAGGCAATATGCTAATCCACAACGTGGACATTACGCGGAGAGTCTCCGCCCAATTGTAGTGCGCGACCACCAGAAGTCGGCCGACGGTATGCGCTTTGGTGAATACCAAGAACCTGGCTATCATTTCGGCTATCAAAACAGCAGCTACGGCGCTGAGTATGGCCGTGGGCCTGAGACATACGGTCCTCGAAGCAGTTTCGCTAACTCTAGGCATACCTACGACTATAGGCACCCAGTACAGAGTGGTCCCAACCACAGGACTATTGAACGTAAGGGGACTCCGTTGAGGAAGTCATCCTCATCCCACGGCAGCCATCGTGATCGAATGCGTACGAGGGCTCGCCCTGCGCGTGAGGCGCCGAGCCGAGAATCGGTCAGCGAGCGCCTGGCCAAGATACTCGCACAGCGCAAGGCAGAGTCGAGTTCTTCATCTGCTCCAAAGGGTCAACCATCCACGCCGCCCACGCCAGCACAAGGTGCCCAGGGCCAAGTACATCCGGACCTGGAACGCAAGTTCCAAGAGCAAGAGCAGCGATTTCAAGCTGCTATGACGACAATGCAGCAACAGGCGGCTGTTATCGTGGCAATGCAGCAAGAGCATGACCAGCTGAGGCGCGAACATGACATGCTGGTAGACCAGCTGAATGAGGCAGCGCGAAACGGTGCGTTTCCCGCCTTCGCCCCTGCACCAAGTGCGCATAGAGAGACAGCGGCTGAGCCGCTTAGACCAGATATCCCGCAGTTGCCACAGGGTCATGGAGGTGAGTATCACAGCATTCACATGCTATCAAGCCAAGAAGCCGGGTCGCTGCGATCAGCACCTGGTATTGGACAACAGATGGCCCCCTCGGGCTTTGGGAACGGTCTCACTCCGACCGGAGAGACGTCTTCCCCACTCCAGCCGTTTTTTAACGGCACGCTTCCCAAAGGCGGCTTTGGTCAGCCATCGGTGCGGAAGAACTGAAGAGGGATGGATGGGAAGGGTTGGATGGAGGAGGCGGAAGCTTTAGTGCAGACAGTTGTTCTGCTATGTAGTCAGTATGAATGCAGAGATTTTCGGGAAACAATCATTGTTCTTTCCAGGCACATGTGATGCTTGCATGATGGACAATATCTCATATATGTGAAAAACAGTCCTATGGCTTCCACCACGAAAGCTACCATCCCTCTAACTACACTTATCTCCCAAACCCCACCCCACGATCTCCATCGCCCTTCTCACGTCCGCCCCAAAAACCAAATATCATACCTCCCCGTATAATTAGGCCCCGTATGTGTAAGCGCAGGCCTTGGAAACTCCAACCCAACCCACTGCTGCCAATTGCTCCACCTCACCCCACACCCCAACCTAAACACGAAGTTCTGCGGGAACGGCTGCGGCTCAATCGCATGGTCAGACCATGTCTCCGCCATCTCGTCCAGAGCCCTATCGATATTGTACCAAGCGCTGTAGTATCCGTCGTCGACCCGTTTCCGAGCTATCTCGTAGGAGAAGCCTGCGATGGGGAACTTAGACGTGTCGTTGGATATTTTTGGGTCTACGGCATGGAGGAATGTCTGGATCGAGGTGGAAAGGTAGTCGGTGGCGAATGTTACGAGCTGGCCCAAGCAAGGGTCGAAGAGGTGCGGCGAGAAAGGACACTGTCTGTATGCGATGCGTTCGTGGACGTGGATGCGGTGGATGCCTTTGAGGTTCTCGGGTCTAGCACTAGCAATGTAATCTGCACATATGCTAGAAGCGGATTCGGGGGTGTCTTTGCGGAGGGGGAAGATTAGTTCTGGACATCGGGTTGGTGGTAGAGCTGATGTTTCTTCGTGGAGTTGTTTGCAGACGAGTTTCATTTGGTTTAGGTCCATTCGTAGTTTTCGGATCGGATCGTCGAGGATCAGACGCTGATGTAAAGCTCCATCCTTGAGATATAGTGCCATGAGGATAGCCTCGTCCGTTTCGAGAACGTGAGCGTAGACAATGTTGCGGAGCTCTCCCGGCAGTGCGAATAGCCGGAACGGGCCGGGCGGCTCATCGTGGGAGTTCGTAGGTTGGCCTGATGAAGCAGTTTCTTTTTGGGTTGCTGATGACACTGCAACACATGACTGGAAGGGCGTATGCTGGTTTGAAGAGTTTATGACAAAAGGATAGCCGGCATACTCAAACAATGAGGTCAGCACGGGCCGAAATACACGCAGTAGTAGAGAGCTCATTACTGCCAGACGTTGAAGTCGCGGGTTGAGAGAGAATCTGTTTTGTTATGGTGAGTGTCAGGGATTATGAATCTCTGGAGTCCTCCGTAGCAAGCACCCATGCCTTCTTCCATGCGCACGAGCTCTAGAAAGTTTGGCGTACTTCTAGGCGGCAGCACATGCTCAATCTCAGCGTTCATTCACTGCATTCACATCACCAAATCACCAGGATTCACTCCCTCGTCATTTGCCACAATCCCAACCTCCCTCTTGAATCGCGACAACCAGTTCGGGAAATCCGCAGGTGTCTGGTTCCATGGGTCGTCACCATCATACATGATCCATCGCGCCTGATGCTGTATCTCTTCATCGGAAGGGACATGGCAATTCGGGTTCTTCGGTGAAAGCGTTGATGCTGCCCATCTCCGCATGTCGCTGTCAAAGATCCGGTAGAAGTTGGTGTCGTCGGGTAGCAGCGATCGCAACCGACCGTACATGTCCGTCTGCGCGGTGGACTCAGGCGAGATTATCGGCTCTTCTGAGAAAGTCGGCAGCGTAGTGAAGTAGTCATGGGTTTGCTTGGATGGACTCGCGGTCCCGAGCGCGGAAGTTGACGCTTCCTTGGTAGGCGAGGCTGGCCACGAGAGGTCTAGTAACTCACCCAAGCCATGATCCGCCGGGATATCGGTGGATAAAACATCAGAGATGCCTGCGCGTTGCTTGAAGAGCGAAATCCAATTTGTGCCCGAGTAGATTCCTTTGACGATCCAATTCGCGAAAACATCCGATGGAGTACTGGACTCCTGCTCCATGCGCCGAACAATCTGACATGCCTCGTGATGCAGTTGCGCATCGTCAAGCGCTTCGCCAGTCGCTATGCGTTGGGTGACGAAGCCACGAAGCTGCGCCTCAAGCGGGCATTGTTCGAAGAGATGATCCTTGGCATTAATCCGTAGCGGGAAATGTCTACTCTCGCGAGATGATCGAACGGGCTGAAATCTTGCGTGTTCAGTCAGCTCATGTGATGACATCATCAGGTCTCGTAGCCATGAAACCTCGTGGAGATGGTTTGTGTCTGGTCCGTGCATGACGGAAGTGGTCTCGGCTGCGAAGATGATGCGACAGGCTTCTAGTTGCATCGCATCATTGTCTGGCAAGTACCCATGTTTGTCGAAATATCGCTGGATGAAGAACTCGATTTCGACTTTGAGCAGTTCGTACGCATTTGGCGGAGTACCCCAAGATGGGTCGCTGCCTTTCATGGGAATGAGAGTGCCGCGTTCCCAATCGATGAGATCTGAAAGATGTCAGCATTCACACACCCTCAATGAGCAAGCCAATTTCATCATACCTGGAGGGATAGCAGTCTCGACCAACGGTATAACGGACGCATCAAAACCCCAGTCACCTTGCCAACTCGCCATCGTAACACCAGACTTGAAGTGGTCGGCAAGATGATCAGTTCTCTCCAGCCATGTATTCATGGTAGTACCGCAAAATCCGCATCTTGATCTGACATCGGGTATGGGAAGCATCCAGCGTGCCATCGACCACTCGGCGAATTCGACGCCGTGCACCAAGCGCAGATGCTGGACAAGGTGATCTTTCCGGTGGAAGGTACGTTCTTGTAAGCTTCTTTCCTGGCATGCAGAGTAGTGGTGCGCTTCGATATGCTTGTCATCCGGCTGTACCTCACCGCAGAAGACACAGCATTGATCTCCGATCGACTCCTTGGTAGTGCGAGAGCCTTGAAGTGCGCAGATCCATCTCTCTAGCGGTAGATGAAGCGACTTCTCGTGACGCTGCCAATCATACTTGGTCTTGAAGACCTCAGTGCAGAATGTGCATTGATACGGCATGCCGATGGGTGCGGTTCTCTCCGTGTCAAGGCGCCGGCGTCGAGTGGTCCGCTTCTTCCGCGGTACGCGGCGTACTTTGAGGGACGTTTGCGAGCCTGATGAGCAATGACCCGAGAATTCACTCGATTGAGAGGTTCTCGCACTGCTTGCCGAGGACATGGCGTAAGGCGATTCCCATGGTTGATGATACGCGAAGTCTCCAGCATCTTCATCTGGACACAGTCAGTAAAGTGCTATCAGTGCATGATATAAGTGGATGACTCACGTGAAGTAGAAGCCATCGCACGCGCAATATCGCCAACAGCAGCAGGTTCATGCTCCGGCGGCGATTCCACCCAACGCTGCATAGGGTCTTTATGATTCGATGCCATCCTAACAGCAGGCGTGCCGGGCCTCGGAATGATATCAACTGGAGAACTGGGCAAATTCTTTACTTGCGGCGAGGTTGGACGGACACTTTGCACCTTGCCACGTCGACGTGCATTCGCGAACCAATTCGTCAGTTGCGCTTTGTTCAATCCCGTTCGGTCTTGAAGTGCCATCATCTCGCCCTCACTGGGATAAGGATGTTTTTGATGAACAGTAAGCCAGTCTTTGAGTGTACGGATGACTTCTCTGGAGAAGCGACTGCCAAGCTTAGGTCTGGATATCGATGCGCTTGGCGTGAAGGGGGACGAAGAGGCGGTGGAATGGTTCGAAAGATCAAGAAGTGACGGATCCATCATCCAACTTTCATTGTACTGATTCGGCACCGCATTCGAGGCCCCTAGGGCTTCCGACAAGCCGGCGAAGCTGCCATCATCTAGGGCGTGATCTGTGGCGAATTGACTATTCTGAAAGGCGAAGAAAGCATCGAGATCAGCTGGACTATCCATATCGATGGTTACTCAAACGTCGCGAAACATGGAGAGAAAGTTTGCGGGGTAGGAGGGTTGGTTCCCTGGGACGCGCTATATCATGTTCGTGCTAACCGAAGAAGGGAAAGCGCACATGTCAAGTGCGCCTTACTGACACGCTTACCGGGCCAGAATCCTTCGAGTCACGTCAACGTAGGGAAAAAGTTGAATGGGTTTGCAGCCCACATCAACACGAAGACACGCAAAATGTCAAAATGGAGGGAACGTTATTTCATCCCTCTACTTATTCGATTACCTGGTATCCAAAGAAGCTACTTTCGCTTCCGTATCACATCCAAGAAGACTCGCAGTCAGCTAAAGTCTACCACTGATACGCCTCGCACTTGACGCTCTTGAACCTGTTCTCCACGCTCAAGTTATCGACCCACTGCTCCCCGGCCCTCGAGTCAATACTCATGGGCGACTTATCCTCTCCACCTCCACAGCCAAAGTCGCGGTACCACTTACAGTACGCGCCGCCATACTGGATGATCGAGAGCGGGCCCTGATCCGCAGGAGCAAAGTTGGCGCATTGCTGAATAGCGTTGATAGCGTTGTCGGTGCAGAATTGGTAGTGCGCTTGGTGGCAGACTGTTGTTGAGCCTGGGGGCCAGTCGCGCTTGTTGAGCTCGTTTGCAGCTTTGCACTCCACGCTCGCGACCAAATTGGTCTTCACTCCAAAGGTAGTGTGATCCGTGGGAGACGATACGTACTGCCAAGCTTCGTCGCTGTCCTTGCAGCCGGCCTCAAGGTAATATTTGCACCATGTATCCTTGGCTTGCATGATGAAGCTGGATTTATGGGCGACCTGGGGCGGAAAATCCGTGCATTTGTTCGGGGCGTTGATGTACCAGCAGCCGGAGGCAAAGTCTTCGGAGCAGGCGAATACTTCGCCTACTCGGATGATTCTAGGAAGTGTCCATGAAGGTGCCGAGTCCGTGGGGAGAGAATCGCGCTTGGTGATATCGTCGGCGTAGATGGGCCTGTCCACGGCGGTGACCTTTTCGATAGCATGGTCGTGGGGAATGACTTCCAGCTCAGATGTCACACCGGGACCTCCGCACACCACACTCGCGAGATCCTTGAAGAAGGTCCCAATAAATGCAGTCGGATTTCCTGGCGCCGATGTGTGATGGAAAACCTCATCACTATCCTTGCACCCAGGCTTGTTGTAGTACCAACAATACGTCCCCTTAGCCTGCTCGAGGATCATGACGTTGTGGGCGGTGTTCGTAGGGAATTCTAAGCAATCGTTGAGTGCATCCATGATCCAGCAGCTATCGGTTTGCTCATAAGAGCAGGTGAATAGATCGCCGACTGGGAGGTCTACGGGACTATATCCGTCCCTTGGGTATTGGATCTGGGTATTGGTCAAGTCGGTAGCTGGATCCGGTGTGTTGCCTGCCGAGGCCGCGGAAGTGATGAGAGCTACATTGGACCGAGAGCCTTCCTCTCGCGCAACGATCTCAGCGTGAGGCTGAGTACGCACACAGATGACATGGGTAAGCCTCTTGCCAATCTCCAAGGGCACATAGTGGACATCCCCACGCCCCTGACCTGACGCAACAAGGAAAATAGGACCCTTGGATACATCGCAGCTGTCCTTGTAGAACGAGCAGGAAACGTTTCGGGGTACAGCCACAGCGATCAGATCATGCGCAATAGAGTCGCCAAGCTGGATGCACTTCTTGGTGTCTTCATCATAAATGCCAAGCTGGGATGTGCTGCCGAATAGAAAGGCCATGGCTCCAGGGTCGGCCATCGATGTGTCTAGTGCTTCTCGCGTAACGATTGTAGATTGAGGCTTAGTACGCATACACATGAAATGAGTAAGCTGCTTGCCAATGTCTGACGGCACTTTGGGGACGGCGTCGCCCTTGTTCGAGTGAACCTGGTACAGAGGACCCTTGGCTACATCGCAGCTGTTCTCCCAGAACCTGCAAAGGACGTTTTCGTGTACAGCCACGGCGATGACATCGTGCGCAGTAGAGTCGCTAAGTGGGATGCAGATGTTGGCGTCTGTGTCGTAAATACCAAACATGCCACCAGTACTGCTGAACACGTAGGCGATGGATGGACCGTCCTTTTGTAAAGTCATCAGAGCCGTGCTGTCGACGATAGGTGTAGTTTCCGCTCGCGCATCGATACCCGGTGTAGTAGCCGCCCAGGCATCGATTTCAGCATCAAGAGTGTGCTTCTTGCCGCAAGCGACGTGTGTGATGTCGCGGCCAGTATAACCCGGGATATCCACACTCACGACATTGCTCCAAGGATTCGAAGCGCGGAAAATCGGGAACTTGGCGATATTGCAGGCATTGGTGTAGAACACGCAGAGAATGTTGGGTTCCAGCTGTACTCCGACAACGTCATTAGCCACATGCTTGCTGAGCGCAACGCAATCCGCGTCGTTGTCGTCATAGATATACAAGTCGGCTGTGTCGCTGAGGACTCGGGCCATCTTCGTCTTCTGGGCTGTGGTTTGGAGGGATGTATCATCCGCTCGCGCTTGTAAGTTGGCATAACCGTCTTTCTTCCCGCACATGACGTCGGTGATCTTCTTGCCAACGTCCGCTGGTACCCTTAAAGTGGTGAACTGCTCTTTGTCGGTCGAAACGGTGAAGACGGGGTATTTGGCCAGGGTGCAATCGGTGTCGTAGAACACGCAGAGAGTGTGAGCTCCAGCAACTACCTGGATGACATCATGGGCAATATGGTCTTTCAACTGAACGCAGGCTCGGCTGTTTTCCTTGGTGACAGACATGTCGCCTCTGCTGCTAGAGATCCTCGCAAGGGTAGGGGAAAACGTCGTAACATCCGCTCGTGTCTCGATCGCAGCATGGTTTTTGAATCCGCAAATGACGTGGGTAATGTTCTTGGAAACATCTGCTGGCATGTCTCGACTGACAAACTGCTCCGTGGTGCTTGAAACGGTGAAGACGGGGTACTTGGCTAGACTGCAGTCGTTGTCGTAGAACACGCAGAGAGTGTGAGCTCCAATGTTCACCTTGGTAACATTATGAGAGAAAGGGCCTTCGAACTTGAGGCAGGATCGGTCGCGGTCGCTCATGATAGCAAAGTCGCTTGTGGGGCTGAAGATCCTCGCTATGTACTCCCAAGATGCCGTTGTTTCGGAAGCGGCCGCCGGGCTAGCTTCGAGAGCTGTAGCATCCGCTCGCGCATCGATCTCATTGTGTGGGGCAGACGAAGGCCCGCAGACAGCGTGGGTGATTTTCTTGCTGATATCCGATGGCACAGGAACTTTGGTATAGGGGGCCTCGCTCTTTGCAGTGAAGAGAGGCTTAATAACAGTAAAGCAGCCGCTCTCGTAGAACCTGCAGAGGGTATGATCGACCAAGGCTGCGTGCGTCAAATGACGAGATACCGTGTCCGGGAGTTTGATGCAGAGCCCAGCGAAGTTCTCTTGATACTCGAAGGCGTAGCCGGTATCGCTGATGAGTCGCGCGATGAGCCCGGACGGTTCCTCGACCGCGAAAGATGGCGCCTCGAGAGACGTATCCGCTACTCGAGCTTCAATCCCAGGAACATCGCTCAGTTGGTGGTCGCCCTTGTGACACCAAACATACTTGAACCTAGTGCCGTACTTCGCATCGATCTTGAAGAGGTGTTGCTTATCCAGAGTTTGAGCGGTGTAAATGGGTTCGCCTTTGCAGTCTGAGTGGCGGTCGTTGTAGAATTTACACCTCAGACCTGGATCTTGAATGAAAGAATCGACGTTATACGCGATATCGCTGTTTAGCTTCAGACAGTTACCCAAGAGCTTTTTTTGCATGAGTTGGCCTACGCCATGGCTGCAGACAACCAAGTATTGGTTATCCGGGGACGGGTTCATGCAGGCCCAGTCTGGTGAGACGTCGGTGTCTTGAGAAACGTCGGTGTCTGGAGCAACGACAATCTCTGGAGAGGAAGGAGCAACGACCTCTCGAGCTTCCACCTCACCAACGTCCCTGCGCCACCGACCAATCTTGCACTTGACATACTTGATCCGCTTTCCAACCTCGGGGTCAATCCTAAAGCTCTCTTCTTTCTCTGTAATAATAGAGACCTCTTCAAGGTTGCCATTGCACTCGTTGCTGTCGTCGTAGAACTTGCACATAATGCGCGCATTCTGAGTAAAAGTTTCGACGTGGTACCCAACGGTACTGGTCAGCGACACACACGCGTTCATCCAGTTGTTGGGGATGTTGTTGGCGCTGCCACCGCCGCAGATGGATAGGAAGTAGTGGCTCGCATCGGGGTTCATACAGGAGGAGGAAGATGAAGTGTCCTCGAGTCGAATGGGTTCGGCGTCGTGGATGGGAAGAGCGTCATTCTCTTCGGCGTGCTTGATGTCTTCCACTTCCAGGACGGGAGGAGGATCATCAGCTCTAGCCTCGAGCTCACCAGACTCCCCACGCGGCGGCGCCTTATCACACCTGACATACTTGATCTTCTTGCCAATCGCCGACGGGATCCGGAAATGATGGGTAAGGGTAGCGACGACGAAGTCGCTGTTGCAGTAGTCGCTGTCGTCGTAGAACCTGCACATGAGACCAGGGTCTTGGACCGTGGTGGTGACTTCATGCGCGACGCCGGCGGTAAGTAGTGCGCAGACGCCGAGCCAGGTCTTAGGCATGGTGCTCGTGTTGGTGTGGTTGCCGCAGATAGCCGCGAGCCACATGTCTGGCTGTTGTCCCATGTTACATTCGGGGGCAACATACTCGAGGTCGGCGATGTCGGCGGGTTGGGAGGTCGGGATGAGGGAGACGGCAGTGGACTCGGGAGTAGGAGCGGCGAAGGCAAGACCAGCGAGGCCGATCAAGCCGGCGACTAGATAGTGAGCGCGCATGACGACTGCCACGTTGAATGTCAGAAATCTCAATGTACCAGCGCGGATGATCAGATTACTTACCTTCGTCAGGCCAATCGCTCTTGACAGACCGACGCGGTCGCTAGCGGATTGGATAGATGCAGTAGTGGTCGTAGAGCTTCCGCGCAAATGATGGGGCGGCTTTTGCAGCCAGAAAGAGAAGGAGGTGGATTGATAGGGCAGGTAGGGGGGTGGAAGAGAGAAGACAGGAGGTGACGGGTGGGGGGATTTTGTCTCTAGTAAGAGAGCGGTGGGGAGGCGCGCAAAGGCCAGGCGGGCGACAAACGGATACCCAGTCAGTGAGGGGTGAGCGGGAGTGAGACAGCAGGTGACGGGTGGGAGATTTTGCCAATAGTAGGAGAAGCGGTGGAAAAGCGCTCGTCGAACGCCGCCGAGGCCTGGTGGGCAACAAACAGAGCGCCAGCGAGTAAAAAGTAAGAGAAGCGAGACCCTGACGAACGAAGACGAAAACGATGTGTGCTTGGCCGAATATGGACGTTTTGCTATCAGGATGTGAAGCGCATGGTCTTCTGAGCATCGCGCTCAAACCTGAGATCTTTTCGCGAGGGACCTTGGGTGTGTAAATTGGCGCAATGCGCACAGTCCGACGTCTCGCGAGTGGAATGCGGCGGTTGACCGTAATCTCATACTACCCGCAATGTTGATGCTCAAGTCCTGGCGTGTTTATCATCTTCCTCCATTCCGCACCGCTCTACGGGTCAAGATCGCGATTAATGTTATACTGGCGATACCCAAACCCATCCATCGTGACCCAATGCCCCAGCGCCTCCATCTCAGCCCACACCTTGGGATAATGCTGCTTGATCCAAGCCTCGACGCGAGTTTGCCTCTCAATATTAGCCGTGCAGTTGAACCAGCTACCTAGACTACATCATCATTAGCATACTCAATACCTTGAAATCAATACCATGGAATCAGAAGGGAAACGGAACATACATCTGCAAATCAGGAGTAAACCCATACTCCTCCTCCACAGACTCCACCAGCGCCAACGCCTCATCGTGATTATGATTCCGCGCAACAGCGCACATATACGCTGTCCAGATGTTCTTGTCAATCTCGACGTCCTGGTCTTTCAAGCGCTTCCAGATGGACTTTGCGTGTTCGGAGCCAAAGTGCATGCCTTCGCTTGATCGGAAGGCGATGGCGAGACTGTTGTATGTGGGACCTTCTTTTGAATCGCAAATCTCGCGCCAGAAGGAGAGGGCTTTGCGGTTCTCGCCTGTGGCAGCGTATGCGAGCATGAGTGAGTTGCGGAGTTTGGTGTCCATTTCTACGTTTAGGTCGAGTTTGAGTTGGTTGTGCGCTAGTTCGAGGGACTCGGCATCTTGGCAGCGAGCGAAGCCAGTGAAGGCTGCGACGTAGACGTCTCTTGTTGCTGTGTGAGTGGGGCTGACGTGGTTGCGCATGTGGAAAAAGACGTGGCAGGCCATGTCGGAACGATTCCTGGCGAAGAAGCCGTTCATGATTGGTATCCGGTCTTCTCTGGGCGTTTCGACAAACACGTTGCGTAAGATTTGGTAGCCATCCCAAGCATCTGCGGTGCTAGTCTCACCATCCAGGATGAACATGGAAAGCGCCTTCTGGATGATTGTCCGCTGTTCTGGGGAGTATTGATGAGCGTGCACCTGGAGAAGATCCATGGCGTCGTGGATCTCGCCCCTCCGAAGGTGCAACAGCGTTAGCGCTGCAACTGTTTCCGGTGCGAAGCTGGCCTTGCGCTCGTGCAGATCGTCCACCATGGCCATCAGCTCATCGAAATGATGCTGTTTGGATACGCAGAGGGCTTGGATCAGCTCGTTGACGACTGCAACACTGCGCTCGTCCCCAGAAAAGCTACCCTGCAGGTTGAAGTAGGCAGATCTAGCTCCATCGAGGTCGCCAACGGAGATGCGGTATTGCATCTGCATCGTATAGGTCGTCTCGTCGGGATGAATGCCAAACTTCTCTCCCAGTACAATATAGCGCTCCGCCAGGTAGGGGTCTTGCTTAGACATGCAATGCTCTACTAACGCATTGATGGTTTCGGTGTCTGGGCGGATTACAAGAACTTTTGGGTCCTTTTGCCGTGCCTCGTCATTTCTGCGGATCAGCACGTTGATCATCCGAGCGATCTCATCAGGGCCCTTGCCGATAGCAGCAGACCAGAGAAAAATGGCATCCCACTCAGGTTTCGAGGGCATTTCAACCTTGAGCATGTTCGCTACCACCTGTTGACCGTAGGTAAGATCGCCTGCTGCGGCGCAGGCTTTCAGCAAAGCAGAGCTGGTGCCGCCCGACGGCTGGGTAACCTGGTGGCCGACTTTGGTGTGCACGGGTTGCGAGTACCAAGATTTGGCTTTTTCCAGGTCTGCACGCTCAGCGTAGAATGCTACTAGTTTGTTTTGCGCAGGCCTGGTCAATGGAACTGAGGCGTCTGTGAAAGCATCCACCGTTTTCGAGACCTCGGTCAGGCTGTTCTCCCGGATGATTCCTCCAAGCACCGTGTTCCAGCTAGAGACCACGGCGCCACGTATCAAGGCATTAGCTGTCTTGTCGTATTTGAACGCACTAATCGCGATGTCCCTTGCCTGAGTAGCCGCACCGAACGCGGATAGAACTTGGACACGCCTCGAGTCGATGTACATCTTGAAAGGGACCTTCAATTCCTTCGTCTTCTTCTCCCCAGCCTTCTCTGGCTCTTGCTCCTCGGATTTTGCCAACTCATCGACCACGAGCCGCCCAAAGACCATGTGCGCTTTCCCTAAAATTTCCGGTCGCTTCGTCGTGTCCAGCAGTTTCTCCAAGATATTGTCCAGGTCTTGCCGATATAGCCATGGCTTCCCGTCTTCTCTCGGATTCTCCAGCAGATAATTCAGAGCTTCAATCGCGGTCCCCACATGCCAGTCCTCAAACGTCCCTTTTCTTTGCGCAAAGAATTCCTTAATCGCATCTGCAACATCCTTCGGTGCCGGCGGCCTGAGGTCATTCGCCCGCTTATATGACACCTCAGCCATTGTATTCAGACCCGGTGGCGCCTCTGCAGGCTTGAGCTTCCGCTTTTGCTTGAACAGCTCCCCAAAGAAAGTCCGCCGTTGCGTCTGGGGAAGTAATCGGGCGCCATGTTGGGTGATGACGCGGGGTCGGACGGCTCGGTAGCGGCATCCTCGGTACAGCAGAGGCTCGTTGGCGATGATGTTGCGGAAGACGATGCGGGTCAAGTGCGAGGGCATGGCGGCGGCGACGTTCGCTAAGCGCAGGACAAAAGTGTGGTGACGTAGGTTTGGCGTGCAATTGGCGCACGGGGGGAAGGGTATCTAGGCGAAGAAGGCGTCCATGGGGTGGAGGAAGGCGCCCAAACGGTATATACACGAAAAGGACGGGATGGAAGCGGAATCCAGTGGCGGCGACGGGGAGTGAGGGGAGCAATTGCGGGAGCTCTTGCCTGCTGTGAAATCCAATTGCGCTAAGAAAGTCAACTTCCGACCGCCGAGGCCGCATCTCGAAAAGTCACGACGGCAGCGACGACGACGCCAACACCACCACACCCGCCAACATGTCAATAACACGGTTACCACTGCGGCCGCTGCCGTCCATAAGCACGACATGCATGCGCTACTTCTCCACCGGGTCCCATAAGCAAGGTGCGCCCAATTCCTCTCCCATACATACCCCATCTCGAACAACCTCTGACCACCCCCAGGCCCGCAAGACGGCATCCTCGACATCCTCGCCAGCAGCACCGCGGCCGCCCGCCCACCTCCAAACACAAACACCACGCGCCCGCGCACCGGCCCCTCCCTCACAGGCATGGCCTCAACCATGGGCCTCTCCGCCAACATGCCCCGCGAAGTCCTCGAATCCGACCGCGCGGCCCAATACCAACGGCAAATCTACCGAAAATGGCAACCCGGCGACGTGTACGCCCCCCACGACCTCTCCGGCACCGAGCAAAAGAAGTGGAAGTACGGGCGCAAGAAGCCGCAGCAGGACGCGTTTGATGTGCTGGGCATAAATCCGATATTGGAGTATAAGAACTTTACGATGATGTCTGAGTATATGACGGAGATGGGGAGGGTGAAGCATAGCAAGGATACGGGGCTTAGGCCGAAGAATCAGAGGAAGGTTGCTAAGGCGATTCGGAGGGCGATTGGGTTGGGACTCATGCCCAGTGTGCATCGGCATCCGTTGGTGTTGAAGAAGAGTAGTCCGTCGAGGTTTTTGTGAGGGGTGGGGGTCGTATGATAGGTCAGGTCGAAGAGTACATTTGATATCTCAAGATGAATGATAGGAACGCGGTAGTCAATAAGCTCATCTTGATCCGCAGTGGAAGCAAGATTAACCAGCTATACAAAACCACAATCTGCGAAACGGCCAGCGTGAAGAGCATTGATCTCCCTACCCCAACTAATACCCCGTCTCATTCCTCCCCTGCTTCTCAATCCACAAGCTTATCATCTTCTGCTGCGCATGCACAATCTCCATCGCATAATCCTCATCATAAAGATCATACCACCCCGGACTCTCATGCGGCGGATCCCCCGCCCAAACCATCCCAAACGCATTCGCCTTCTGCGTCTCCGGCCTCCAAATCCCGCCATACGCCCACGGACTCGTCCCAATATACGCACCCCCATTCCTGAACTCATCCATAACCGCTCCGATAATCGTTGTGAAATAGGCGTCCTTGTGCGTCGTGCTCGCGTCACTGAGGTACGGGTATTCCTTGTCTTCGTTCACCCAGTTATCTCTTGCCATGCCGAATTCCTCCAAGAAAACTGGTTTACCAATATCGATAGCCCATTGACTGCTGTTCTTCATAAAGTCGCGCGCAAAGTCTTGGGCCGCGACTAGATTCGCGTCGCTGGCGTTGTACATGTCATACACGCCCCAGTTCTGGACCCAGCAGTGGGTTGTCGCGTAGTCGACGGTGGAGAAGTTGTGCACGCGCTTGAAGTAGTATTCGCCTTGCTTGCTTTCCAGACCGACGCTGATGAGCTGCTTGGGGGCGAGCGACCGGATGTAGGCGGAGATGCGGTCGACCCAGGGGAAGAGCAGGTCGTTGGGGTTCGGCTCGAGGAAGATGTTGTAGGGGCCTGTGTAGCCGAGTTGGTCGGAGGGTTGGGGCTCGTTGGCGAGTTGCCAGGTCATGATTGTTGGGTCTTCGGTGTAGAGGCGGCCTGTTATGGTGTTGCGGCGACTCATGACGGTCTTGATGTGGTCTTTGTACCATTGCTCGGCCTGCGTGTTGTTGTAGATGAGGTTGGCAAAGGAAGTGAACTCGTCGTATGGAGCTGCGTTGATGCCTTCGACAGTGTAGTTTCCCCATCCGGTACCGGGTGTCTCGCGCTGGGGTGGTGCAGTCTGGTTCCAGCTTGACGGATACGGGATCGCGGTGTTGTTGTTTGCCCATGATACGTACTGGGCAAATCCACCGCTCCACTGCCACTCGTTGTTGAGCGTCATGGTGGCGCGCATGCCGCGTTTCGACATTTCAGCAAGACAGATATCAAGTCCTTCAAAGACGTCCTGGTTGTACTGGCCAGGCGACTCCATGAGTGCTGGGCTCATCCTGAAAGGCTGCGGTGTTGGTGCCCCTTCCGAAGCAGCCATGATACGGAGGTGGTTTATGCCTTTTGCAGCCATCTGATCGAGCTCTGTAACCAAACGCGAGTAGTTGCCGCCAGCTTCTGGACCTGCGGCAAGATTCATGCAAGCCCAGTAGTTGATGCCTTGAATATGTCAGCCCACAACTTCTAGGGGAGAAAAGGATATCCTTACCAGTAAGATAGTACAATCCATCGCCATTATACAGCCTTAGCCCATCCACATAGACAAAGTCGTCGTCCGCAATCGCACTCCCATTGTGACTCCCACCCCCTCTCGGCAGCACAGAGCCCGCAGCCAACGAGGCGAACAACACCTGAGTCGCGACTTTCATCTCGACAATCCAAAGATAAGAATATGGCTTAACAAGCCATTACCGCAGGCTCACATCAAAGCTTATATATCCATCCGCCTATCCCGAAGCCGCGGTCCGACTATGCATACTACGTCCTCAAGTGCCGGTTGACATCATATGCGGAGCAAGAACACCCCGACGATGCTACCTTCTCCATCGGAGTGGAGATCGTCGCTGTGCGATTGAGCGAGGTGTGGTAGTTCTTCCGGAAGCCATTGCACGATCGATACACACGCGTATGCAGCGTAGAATGGTAGTGACGAAATGGCTCGGAGTGTGGATCTCCGTTGTAGCGTTGGAGTAGCGTGCTGATGGATGTGGGTCGCTGGCGTTGGAGGCAGTTGCCAAGCCCCGAGGTGCCGACGTCTGTTAAAAATCCGTGCGCAAGCTCATGACCTCGATACCTTTGGCGCTGGCGCCGTGGTCCTACGTTGAGTTCCACTCCGGCTGTCACGACGAATACTTCAACTCTCGCGACCAGTCCTCCACCATGGACGACGACGAAAACGACGAGATCGCAGCGGCCATGGGCTTCGCCTCCTTCGGCGGGACGAAGAAACGCAAATACGACCACACCGCCTCGCCAAAAGCTGGCCCTGATGCGAGCGGCGCCAACTCCACCAAACTGGGTGTTAGATCGAAGAAAGTCGCCAACGAAGACGAGATCAACCTCGACGACGCTGCATCCGACGCTATATCCGACATCACGAATTCAACGCCGCAACCCCACCACAACGCGCCGGGTAAAGCAAAGAAGAGCCAACCCGCCGACTCCGGTCTGGCTGCTTTTCTAGCTCGCGGTCAGAACCTACCCGAGAAGCCGGCTGCCACCGAGAGCACATCAAACCTTGCCGTGTCGGGCGACCCAACCGCGGCAGAGATGGTATCGTTCGGCGGTCCAGCAATCTCCAAGGCTGAACTGAATGCGCTGCGTCACGGCGTGAGAATGGAGAATGGAGATACGGCATACTTCCTACCGAGCTTTGTCGAGGATCCCTGGGCGAGGCTGGGAAAGGGTGGAAGTGGATGAGAGGATCTGTCATAAACTCTACGAACAGCGCTGTGGAATGAACAAGGGAGAAAAGTCGGGTTGTGGTCACCGCGCAGTCCTCCTCACACCCCTTCTGGTATACCGCGATATCTCGCATAGATTCCCAAGCAGCAACAACGTCCTTCTCGTAACTGGCGATGCAAATGTAGCATTTCCTTATTCAACAGGAGTAAGGAATGCTACACTTGCATCGCTAATTATAAGAAGAGTACAGCGCAATATCTATGTAGATCCCCAACCAACGAGAACATCCTTCTTGTAATTAGCGATTTGGTGCGGGCATTTTTGGTATTCCTGTTGAATACACGAAATGCCACTTCCGAATCGCTAATCAAGAGCAGAGCGCAGCGCAATATCGACGTTGATGCGCAAGCAGCAACAACATCCTTCTCGCAATTGGCGATGTAAACCCTCATTGTAGGTATCATCCTGTTGGATACGTACAATGTACGCTTACATCGCCAATTGAGAGAAGAATGAGGAAGAGGTGTAGGCTGCATTGGCAGTCAGGTAGTCATCAGCGCCGTGTCATCCTCTTCCTCTTGGACGATCGTTTGTTATAGCATAACGGGGACCGTTCAAGAGGAAGAGGATGGGGAGGTGATGATGATTGCCTGCCTGCCTGCTGTGTTGGTTGTTGGGTGTTGGACTGCGGAGGAAGGTGGGAGGACTTGGAAGGCTGGGGGACTTTAAGTGGTGATGCAGAAATTTGAGAAATCAAATTTTTGCATCGCCACTTTAAAGACTCTTCTGTGACATTTCCATGGGCAGTCCATCAACACGGCAACGTATTGGTGATCTCCGGTTATTGTGGAGGGCTGAGACGGATTTGAGAGTATAGTAGAAAATAAATAATACAAAAGCGTCTTCGGAAGATGATAACGCAGACCATGCATTCTTTTAAGCCTTTAAGCCCTGGCGCTGTTCACTTAAATCTCCGAGACGCCTCCGCACCCGGGGCGGCCGATCGCAAAGAGTATCGTGAGTCGTGGTGCAGCCTCGTGCCTTCCAAGGTTTGTGGCTTGCGTCCAGAACGCGTCCACACGTGCTTTCCAGGGGTCGCGCCAATCACCCGCTGCGCTACTGGCTCACCATCACTAACTTCATCGCGCGCAACTTCCTTTTCTTCCCGACCTCTTTTAGTTTCTGTTTATGGGCTGATGTTTGCGACTGCCTAGTCGATGTTTACCTGAGAAGCCATCCCGATGCGTGTGCTTGTGGCTTTTCGGGAACGCCTGCGTGAGGCTATCGTGAACTCCATGCAGGTACGCGGTCAAGCCACTTCGGCTCCTCGTCCTAGATTATTATTGCTATGTTGTGAGCACATACCCGCTAACTCAAAGGATTGGTCTTTACCTGTACGATACCCAACTTTTGTTGGGTTACTCGTCTCACTCTCTACGAGCACCTCACCAACAGTCATTCTTTCGCTCGTCGTCAATCTGACGCTCTTTCGTATACAGCATAATCCTTAATCACTAATACCAGTCACAATGCGCTGGACATTTCTTCTCTCCCTTTCAGCAGCGATAACGCTTGCAACTGGCAAGGTATCAACGAATGCGCGCTGCGGAAACGCGTACAACGCCTTGCCCGGTGGTATGACCTGCAAAGGTTCAAAGTGGGGTGACTGCTGCTCGCCATACGGTTATTGGTATGGCACCTAGGCTCGGTCTCGCAGACGATCGACTAATGTTTTGTGCAGTGGAAAGACGAAAGACTACTGCGGAACTGGTTGCCAGTCATCGTTCGGTACTTGCAACGGCGTCGTCGCACCAGCGCGTACCTCGACAACATCTAGCCGTAGCAGTACTTCTATCTCGACCCGAACAGCTTCATCGACAGCACCTTCTGCTACTGACGCGAAGGTAAAGGTCACGACCAACGCTCGCTGTGGAAACTCGTATGGAGCCTCGCCAGCGGGAATGACCTGCTCAGGTGGCAAGTATGGCGACTGCTGCTCGCAGTACTCGTACTGTGGTAGCGGAAGCGCATACTGTGGAAAGGGCTGTCAGGGTGGATTTGGGAAGTGCGATGTTGGAGTTGTGTCTTCTGCTAGGTCTTCGGCTTCCAGCTCGTCCAGCTCCAGCTCCAGCAGCGCTTCGTCCTCTAGTTCGACTCTGCTTTCCACGTCGACCAGCGAAAGTACCACCAGCACCGCTTCAAGCTCGTTCGTTTCCAGCTCTATCAGCGCTTCTTCTTCTGGTCCAGCTGCACTTTCGACATCTACAGGTGAAACGACCACTAGTACTTCCTCAAGCTCGTCATCTTCCAGCGGCTCATCGACATCTACCTCCATCTCGATTTCATCCAGCGAGTCTTCCGACATTTCAGTAACTCCCGCGACAGCAACCTCCACGATCACGTCAACACCCATACCCTCCCCATCTACCGCGGAGTTCTGCGGCACAAAAGGCTACATTAAAGAACAACCTTCCACCTTCACAAGCAGCCCTTTCACAACTATCGAGGATTGCCTGGCCAACTGCCGGGCTGAGAGTAGATGCGGCAGTGTAATCATCTCTGAGAGCGGGTGCTATCTCAATGAGTCGCCTATCACCAGTACAAACATCGACCTTGGGCCAGGATCCCCTCTGACATTTTACAACCGCGAGTGCGGGATCAGCGCCTCGGTAACTACCACGCTGCCTGCAACACTAGCAACATCTACGACCTCGTCATCAACAACCTCTGTTTCTCCGACTGCTACTGAGCTCTGTGGCGTGGAAGGAATCGACAACATCAACCTCCAGGTCATAAAAGCCTCGCCATTCACAACCAACGAGGACTGTCTATCAAATTGTCGCGCAGAGATTGAATGCGGTAGCTTCATCGTTTATTCAAACACATGCTATCTAGCCCGCATACCCATCACCGCCACGAACGTCGACCCTAGGCCAGGATCTGGTCTCACATACTACAACCGCGATTGTGGCACTAGCGCGCCAGCAACCACCGCCGCGCCTACAACACTAGCAACATCCACTTCCACTTCCACCACGACCCCAACTCCGACTCCCTCCGTCTGCGCCCCCGCCGCACCAACAGTATCCTGTGTCAAATACCCCAACTGCCCACAATTCACCACTCCACTTTCCAACGCCTGCTCCGCCAACAACTCCCAATGCAAAGACAACTACTTTGTCCGCTGCGGGAACATCCCCGCCGCCGGCTCCCAAGTCATCCTAGCCCTTGGCGGTATCCCGAACGCAGACGTTTGCCGTCAACGGTGTGATGCGTTGAATAATTGCTCAGCGTTTGCCTTCAAGTCCTCGAACTGCATTCTGTATAGCACAATCAATGGATTCATTTCGGACCCCGCTACTACTTTTATCAGGATCTGTAAGGATACTTGTGCTGGGCAGCCGATGAAGAGGGGTGAGGAGGAGAAGGGTAGTGACAAGTCTGTAAGTATCGCGAAATGGACGCAGGGTAAGCAGGGTAGGCATAGGGGACCTAAGGATACCTAAAGATACCCCATCGATACATAATAGCCCGGTCATTCCAAAGAGATGATACTTTTCGTATTTCCCCACAACAGACTGTTTCATACCTAATTTTAAACTCAGCTTCGAAGTCCCACACTCTATTCCCCCCTCTTCACACCCATCCCGTCCCCCCTCACCCCTTAAGATCAAGAAAAAGCAACCCACCCCCCAAACCCCCACGCCTCAACACTCAGCACAAACCCCGCAATCGCCATCCCAGATCCCACCCTTTGGCTAAACTCCTTCCGTGTCAATTTCCCCTCGCCGGCACCGACTAGAATCCATGCTGCGGCTGCGAGGAGGCTGATGAGCAGGAGGATGCCCATGACGAGGAGGATTCGCGGGCGGGAGAGGGTGTATGTGAGGTGGAGCGTTGGTGGAGAGGGATGGGGATGCGGGGAGGGGGAGGGAGAGGTGTTTCGTCGGGCCCAGGATATCCACGTGTAGTTCTTACGTCCGGTTTGGGGTGTTTTGTACAAAGCCATTAGGTCGTCCTCGGAGGGAGTTGCAGGAAGTCTGCCCTGTGGAGAGCGAAGCGCAGGATGAACATCGCGGTCTTCCTTCGTGTTACCGTTGCCGGTGCCATGATCCCATGTACTCCTTCTCTCAACATGTATCCCACTCAGCGTCCTCGCGCTAAACGTCCTCCGGAACCAATTACCCGCTAACTCGCAATTCGCAGCCCTCAGCGCCAAAGCGAAAGCCTCGTCGTCGAAGTCGGCGGAGCGCTCTTTCCTTTTCATCTTGGGGCTGTGATCCATCCTCTTTTCGCTATTGCAGTTACTGATACTACTCTTGGTATAACTGTGTTTCGGCGTCCAAGACGAGGCGTACGTTGGAATGACCACTCTAGCCATCTTCTCTTCTCTTCCCGACAAACCTCCCTGCTCCTCATCCGCGTTACCACACGCGCATGCACATCTCCCCCTCCCCATACCCCACGTCCACCTCCTCAACCCAACCATCACAACAACACCATCGTCATCCATACTCACCGCTCCCCTCTCACCTCCACCTCCCCGCCCCCTCTCCTCAGCACTACCCCTCACAACCCCCTGCGCACTCTCATTCCTCTCCCTCCGACTCCTCATATCATGCTCATCCCCATTCGCATTCCCCGTCATAAGCCCCAGAACCTCCTTCCCCTTCCGATCATCATACGGACTCTTCGGCTCATCACCAAACGGAAACGCACTCGTACAGCACGAGTTCAACCTCGTGTAATCCTCCGTCGTGCGGTTCGAGAGCGAGAAGTTGAGGGCGGAGAGATGGGAGTCTAGGATACTGGCATGTTTTTGCGGGATATAGCTAGGCTTCGGGATGAGGAGGTCATGACCTGTGTTGGTGGTTGCGGTGTTGGGGACGGAGGAGAAGGGGTTGGGTGATTTGATGGCTGGGGAGTAGATTTGCGCGGTGCGGTGGCGGCTGGCTCTGTCGTCTTGGTCTTCACCGCTGGTTGATAAGGGGGATAGGGTGACGTGTCGGTTCGCGGAAAAGGAGGTGGATTTTGGCCAGGAGGTTGTGGAGGCGGAGTGCAGGTATGTGCGTCCTGCTGCGTTTGCTATTTCGCTACTGACTCGAGGGTCTATACTCCGCGGGTCTGAACTCAAGGCTTCGAGGGCGCGCATGGTCATGACGTGGGCGTTTATGATGGAGTCTGCGAGGACGCTGTCGGATGTGCTGTTTGATGACGCGGTCCTTCTGTGTTCTCTGCGAAACGTCGGGCTTTGCGGTAGAGCGGTGAGTGTATCCTCTAGAGGTCCTGATGTAGAGAACGGTGCTGAATTTGCTGATGCCATGAGAGGAGAGTTGGGCAAGGACAAGTTGCTGCGTAACGACAGCCTCGGCGAGTCGATACTGGATCTGATGGATCTGTTATCCACCAAGCGCACATTATCCTTGTTCAGACGTGTCAGAGACATCTTTCGCGCGTGATTGGTTCCTCGACCAGAAGCTCGCTCATCGCCAGTTCCGCTATCATCAGTTCCAGAACCAGAGACATCTGCAAGATCTGCGAGTCTGGGCAGCGAGGTGATGGTACTGCGTTGCCTGTTCCTTCCGCGCTGCGCATTCTCAGTGTCGGCTTGGATGTCGTACGGAATGTCTCTCAGACCCGGCCCTTGGCTTTCAATTGGACTCTGTATCGTTTTGCTCATCCTGTCCTCCCATTCTGATTCCGAAGAGAAATCGTCGAAGAAGTCGGCACGGTGACCTAGCGCTTTCTGCATCGTTTCGCTAACGTCTGGATAAACTGATATTCGTCTCCTTTGTAAAGCTTCGACAACGCGCGGATATGCTGCCAATGTAGGAGACAGTCTTTCGAAGGGGTGTTCGAGGAAGATGGGATGAGCCTTGTCTGATTCAGCGGTAGAAGACACAGGGTGCTGGTTAAGTGGGGAGAACTTTGGCGCAACAGATCTCGAGATCTCTGGTGTCCGGGTTCGCGCAGCCTCCATTGTCATATCTCTCAACACCTCGATTCATCACCGAGGTAAGCCAATCTCCACACGTCATCAGGACATCCCGTCCACCTCTTAATAGTATCGACACGATAATCCCTGAAACACATACAGTACGAATACGGGAGATATAGACGAGGACAAAGGCGAAGCAAGGCATATTGGCGCGGGGGGTGGTGGCGACTAGCGGAGGATTGTATAGCAAACAAAGGCGGTATGCACCTGGTACTGCATGTCTACATCCGGCGCCTTACCAGCTCCATGACGGCGGTAGCGATCGCAAGGCTTTTGTCATCTTGGCCGGCTTTTGGTTGGGCGGGAAGAGTGGACTGCGGATGCAACCGCATTCCGATGGGCCCTGACTTGCACAGACCACTTGGCCGCCCAAAACCGGTACTTTGGACGTAGGGAAGGTAGGTATGTGAGAACAGTATCTATTGGCGAGTGGGACGAAGGGTGGAGTTCGCCCAGAAAGCCCCTTGCTCTATATCTAAGCGCGGAGGCGAAAACTAACAACGCCATATGCAATGCCACCAAATCGTTCGTGATCAACATGAGATAGACATGGAGTATGAAAGAAAAGCGAATCCGAAAACTGTATGAGGACTTTGGCGAGTCCCTTACTCGCCGTCACGGTCGAACATCTTCGTCATCGCCTTTTGCGCAAGCTCTACACCGGCAAAGGTGGCTGCATTGGCAGGCACTGCTCGTGCCATGGCTGGGCCAATACCAGGGAAGAAAGCCTTGAGACCACCGCTCGCGTGGATGCCCTTGATGGTTCCGCTGATCGTTGGTCGGCCTTCGGCACTTTGCAACCGCGACTTGATGGTGTCGACTGGGAAGACGGGTATCCACATGGCGATACCGGCAGCACCACCAGCAACCATGACGGCGCCCATACTCAGCGACCCCGGCTGGCCAGTGACGGGGTCTTTGGGGGTGAGGCTGCGCTTGACGGTCTCGTATGTTGCGAAGTAGAGGGCTGATCCAGGGCCGTCACGCGCCAGTGTCATGGCCGAGCCGCGGTATACTGACTTGATGCCGCCCTCCTTGTATAGCTGCTTCACCACATCCATGCCACCAGCGTATTTTGGCTTCTCGCCAGGCGCCAGGTTCTTTTGTCCCTGAATCTGCAGCAGCACCTTTACGCGCTCAAAGGGTGCAGTGATGATGGTCATGGGGATGGCGCTGAAGAAACCGGCGGCGGAGACTTGTGCGACGCTGAACTGGTTGTTCTCGACCTTGGATACGCTGGACACGAGTTGCTTGCCGAGATCATAGCCCCAGAAGGACACCGCGACTGTCAATGTCAGCCTAGGTTATTCATATACTGGTCCTCCTGTACTCACACATGGGTGTTACACCAACAAGCGGTGCAGAAA